TAAGTTTTGGTTAGTTGTCGCTTTATTACAAAAATCTCACATGTGACAGTTCCAAGTTAAAGCCTTGTCATAGGCTTTAAAAGGCTTTTGGTCTGGGCCTCGTCATATTTGTAGGGTAGGCTAAGCCATTAACTGTAACTAGTTTTAAATGCTTCTGTCTTCCAGCGCTGAAACAACATGTAGTTCAGAGCTTAGTCCGCCAGTAAAATGGTGGAATAAAGGTTTTATACAGAGGGTGTGTCTAGGAGGATCCCAGGCACACCAGTAAAAACAATGACATTTATCAATATATGAATACATGAAGACTATGCCTTGTGAAAGAAAACTGTATTAGTGCATGGACCAATAGAAAGTGAATATGGGATGTAGAAGACAAGGCCTTCAAAGTGTCAATGATATTGGAACCCATGTTGGCACAAGCCAAAGCAACTTCAGAATCAGAATGGGTAGGAATTTAATTTGAGCCACATATTTGCAATTAAATTCTCATGAAACACTCATTGTTTTAAACGTACTAGACGTGTGTATTCACATAAAATATGTGAAGCTGTTACAAAGACACCATTGCTAAAAAAGCAGTTGAACTGCCCTAGAGAACATATATTCAGACAGTTATAATAATAATTCAGCAAGTAATTCCATGTGTTAGGCCTAAATGGTAATCTTGAAAATTTTATTCTACTCATCTATCTTTCCACTTATTTTAAACTATTTTGAATTTGTAATATCACACTAGTATTTGCCATTACTGCCTAGCTTGCATTCTTTACAAGAAAATAAATGGATTTTGCTGTAAATTATATCAGTCAGACAGACAGATAGATGATAGATAAATAGATAGATAGATGATAGATAGATAGATAGATAAATAAATAGATAAATAGATAAATAGATGTATAGATAATCTTTCTATTATTTTTATTAATAAACTAAACTAAGTGAAAGCAAGTTGGAGACAGATATTTTGCTTGAAGAATATATTTTCAAAGCTTTGGAAGTTAGTGAACTTGTACCATGACCATGTTAGTAAATCATAACAAGAAAATTGTTGTTGCCCAGAGGCAGGTACATGATGCAGTTATATATTTTACTTGATTGGAATATGTTCTAATGTTACATTCAATCAAATCAGCTTGTAAGCATTGTGAGAATTACCTGATCTTCAAACTCATTCAGTTCAACAATTTCATAGTTCATAAGTTCACAGATATTTTGGATATATAATCAAAAGATTTAAAAATCTGTAATTTGTGTCAAAAGTTTTGCATCTCTCTCTCTCGCTCTCTCTCTCTCTCTCTTTCTATCTCTTATTCAATCAATCAATCAAGATCCATAAATATGGGCACTCACAGGTCTTCATGCAAAAATATATTACAAAAGTTTTTTTCATATTGAAATAAGTTCCACCCAGAAATGACATACAATATGAGAAGGCAATAAACAGATCTACTTTCTCCAAGCCTCCATATTTCTGTGCTCGTCTGACACTGTGAAACAGCAACGGGAAGGACCACTGAAACATTGGGGAAAAAAAGACCATAAACTTGTAGCAAAAAAAGAATACTCAAAATTACTAAGCTGTATAAAGTTGGATATAAATAAGAATAAGAAAATGGAGCAAAGGTTAACAAAGGGACATGTAAAATTGCCCAGAATTCAAGGAAACATTCTTTATATTTACATAATCTAACATTGTAAATACATTTAATTAATAATTATTAGTTCAAATGTACTATCCTAAAGCACAAATCAGCAAGACAATGTTACTAAAACCTCTAATAGGTTTCTGAAAACAGTAGAAAGGACATATTCTCATTCAGCCTACATGAAAATAATGGGTTAAGTGTAGAGATGAGCGAATCCGAATTGTAAAGTTCGGGTTTGTACCGAACATTACGATTTTTGGCCCCCGAACCTGAGCCCTGACATTTCAGTGACAGTTCGGGTTCGAGTTCGGTGTTCGGCGATTTAATGGCGCGTTTTGAAAAGCTGCAGGGCAGCCAATCAACAAGCGCTTGACTTGTGTGCCCTTAGAAGCCATCACAGCCATGCCTACTAATGCCATGTCTGTGATTGGCCAGTGCAGCATGTGACCCAGCCTCTATATAAGGTGGAGTCACAAGAGCTCTTATTAGTGTTGGGAGAGGATGCTGCAGCTGTGAGGAACAGATTAGGAAATAATTCTGGTGTTGAATATGCAAACTACAGCGATTATTTTTGTGGGTGCTATACTACATTTTTGTACACAGAGAAATAAGCAATCAATCTGTTTGTTAGGTGGGCACTTGCAACTGCATGTGTGCCAGGAAAATTACTTTAATCCTGTTCTGGTAGCTCAGTGGGCAACATCTAGGCATTTTTAAATACTCCTGTGACAGTTTGACAAATTCACATTTTTTGGGTGTTAAAAATTAAAATTGTGGCGTGCATTTCATATCTGAGAGTCAAATAGAACCGTCAAATATTGCTGTGACATTGAAGTTTGACAAATTCAAATTTTTTTGGTGCTAAAAAGTAAATTTGTGGCATGCACTTCATATCTGAGAGTCAAATAGAACCGTCAAATACTGCTGTGACATTGCAGTTTCACTAATTCACATTTTTATTGTGCTAAAAAGTACATTTGTGGCGTGCACTTCATATCTGAGAGTCAAATAGAACCGTCAAATACTGTGGTTACATTGCAGTTTGACTAGTTCAGATTTTTTTGGTGCTAAATAGTACATTTGCTGCCTGCGGTGCACTTCATATCTGAGAGTCAAATAGAACCGTCAAATACTGCTGTGACATTGCAGTTTGACAAATTCACATTTCTTTGGTGCTAAAAAGTACATTTGTGGCGTGCACTTCATATCTGAGAGTCAAATAGAACCGTCAAATACTGTGGTTACATCGCAGTTTGAAAAATTCTAATTTTTTGGGTGCTAAATTGTACATTTGCTGCCTGTGGTGCACTTCATATCTGAGAGTCAAATAGAACCGTCAAATACTGTTGTTACATCGCACTTTGAAAAATTCACATTTTTTTTGTGCTAAATAGTACATTTGGGGCCTGCAGTGCATTTTTTTTGCAGTCCAATAAAACCTTTAAATACTACATTTACATTGTTGGTTTAAAAAAAAATCACACTTTTTTTGTGCTAAATAGAACATTTGTGGCCTGAGGTGTATTTCTTGCAGTCCAATAAAACCCTTAAATACTACTGCTACAGTGTATTGTCTGAACGAGTGTTTAGCACGGCAGGGGCGTTATCACAGATAAGCGCAGCCGCCTGTCCACAGCCAACGTGGACAAGCTCACGTTTATTAAAATGAACCAGGCATGGATCCCACCAGACTTGTCTGTACCTTGTGCAGAATAGACATTTATACCGGCCTCACCCAGCCATTGTTATACTCAAGTGCACTTATTCTTTGTTTTCTTTTTTTATATGTCCAAATATTTTGGGGGCTACCCAAATAAAAAAAGAAAATAATAAATAAAAAACAGTGTTGGCTACCTCCTCCGCTTCCACCTACACCGCCACAGTCACTGCCTCCTCAACCTCCTACTCCACATCCACCTCCTCCTCCAAGTTCAAGATTATTTTAAATTTTTATGTATTTTATGTTATTTTATGTTATTTTAAGTTATTTCTCTATCCACATTTGTTTGCAGGGCACTTGTCCTACTCTTACCCCCATTTTACTTCC